CCCAGACCCCCATTATTTTCTCCCAGACCCTCTTCCTCACCCCCCAGAGCCGGTGTCCCGCAGGGGGAAGCTCCGCAGGCCCTGGACCATGCCCTCGGCCTCTCCATACATCAGCACCGGACTCTCCTCCATCTCTTCCCCTTGTTTAGAGACTCCTCCAGCCGTCACCATGGAGACAGCACGCTGTACACATTGAGCATGCGCCGCTTCTCCCGTCTCCCTGGCAACGCCCGCTTCCCTCCGCGGCTGCGCACTGAGTGCTTCTTTGTCTGCTGTATGCGCGTGCGCGGAGAGGCTTTCCTTTGCCAGGACGGAAGTTGTTGTGGTTTCTCCGCTGAGCCTGGCCCGCCTCTGTTGTGTAACCGCAGGAAGTGCCCCGCCGCCATGTTTGCACACCCTGTGGCTTTGTTGTCCCCCTCACAATGGTGTCAGTGCCATTACTGGCAGTATAGGATGTGGTGACAGAATGATTGAGGTGTGCCCTCGGTGGGGGAGGGGGGTGTTCTTAGTGAAATTGTAAGTCATGCAACCAAAATTAACATATGTGTGTGTGCCACTCTCATATGTGTTGTGTCCACATGCATCATTTATCGGATGTGGATGACGAAAACCAGAGTTGCCAATATTTTAAAGAGAACCTGTCACAACTTATGTACTTGGTATAAGTGCTTCTTAGGCCTGGCACACTAGTGAACCTGTTGCTAATAGCAACCTGCTAACAAGGCAGAGTGCCCACGCTATGGTGTTCAACCATGTGACATATGGAAGTGTCACCAGCACACTATAGTAGATGAAATGATGAGGGTCCGGGGCTCTGGAGAGGATGAGGGTCCGGAGCTCTGGAGAGGATGGGGGCCCAGGGCTCTGCAGAGGGAGAGGATGGAAGTCCAGGGCTCTGGAGGGGGAGAGGATGATTGTTCGGAGCTCTGGAGGGGGAGAGGATGGGGTCCGGAGCTCTGGAGAGGCTGGGGATCTGGACGGGGAGAGGATGGGGTCCGGAGCTCTGGAGGGGGAGAGGATGGGGTCCGGAGCTCTGGAGGGGGAGAGGATGGGGTCCGGAGCTCTGGAGAGGCTGGGGATCTGGACGGGGAGAGGATGGGGTCCGGAGCTCTGGAGGGGGAGAGGATGGGGTCCGGAGCTCTGGAGAGGCTGGGGATCTGGACGGGGAGAGGATGGGGTCCGGAGCTCTGGAGGGGGAGAGGATGGGGTCCGGAGCTCTGGAGAGGCTGGGTGAGGGTGGGGGGCCGGGGCTCTGGAGGGGGAGAGGATGAGGGTCCGGAGCTCTGAAGGGGGAGAGGATGGGAGTTCGGAGCTCTGGAGGGGGAGAGGATGAGGGTCCGAAGCTCTGGAGAGGATGAGGGTCTGGGGCTCTGGAGAGGGAGAGGATGGAGGTCCAGGGCTCTGGATGGGGGTCGATGACAGGAGGAGAGAGCAGAGTGACAGATGAGTTCATCAGCTGGCTGTTTCTGCTTGTACGGGTCCAATCACAGTCTGGGGAAGGGACAAAACCTGCCCACATTGGAGAGATTGTCCACAACGTCCTGTCCTTACGACCCCCAGCACAGGAAGTGAGGGGGGAATCTCCCCGGGATCACACAGACACAATAAAAACCTGGCAGAGGTTATAACTCGCACATTGTATCACTATAGAACGTTCTGGCTGTGGTTGGCCTGTAGAGGGTTCTGGATAGTTCCCATCCTGTGACAATCGCGTGTCCTAAGCTTACTACACACATTACAATCTGATTGTACAATCTCCTTTAGATCTACCAGTACCTATGTAGTACAGGGGCTGTCTGATTGGATCGTCTGGCTCCGCCTCCCCGTTACATCATAGATTGTAAGCTGTGTGGCGAGCTACAAAATAAAGTGAACTCGCGCTTATCCCAGCCAGCGCTCACATCAGTGCCGGCGGCAGCATCGGCCTATCCTCACCGTCACTCTCCTCCATCACCGGGAGGATCAGTGACGTACCCGGTACTTCCAGGTGTGGGGATCATGTGACTCACTTCCCTTCCTTCCATGTAAAAGGGCTGGTCCTCCGTGATTGGCTGCTCATAGACCATGTGCTGTCACATG